CAGAATCACCCGGTACAGAGGCTCACCATGTGCTCATAGGCAACAGGGAATAGGAAACAACAACAAAAACAAAAAAGAATAAAGAAAAACAATAAAAAAGAGTTTAAAAAAATGTGTGCATTCAAATAGGAATATGCGAGATCAAAAAGAAAAGGAATGTGAGAAAAATGATTGGACAGAGGAGCTCCATAAATAATAAGGTATTGTTAACCTTATTTGTCACTTTCAGTAAATCAAAAATTATTTTAGTATTTGGAGGAAATTTTGAATAAAAAGCACTTCTTTTTCTCTGTAACCGGAAGTAAATGGTGAGTATAAAGCCTGCAGAGGAGGCTGTAGCTGAGCTATCACAGCAGGATGGCTTTAACATTTGTATTAAACTCATTCACGTCTTGTGCACTATGTGTTTTTAATTTCAAAACTTTGGATCAATCTGTCTCGACTCCACTGTAACTGAAGTGTATGCAGAAAGCAGCTCAGTGGTGTCGGAACAGCAGAAGTGCAAACTGATCCACATCTTCCACAACTATTTTTATCGCTCACTAATTAGCGAGACTTTAATTTCTGCTCTGTCCTCCAGACAGCCCACCGGGGGCACTCCGCAACCCCCCCCGCTCACCCTCTTCCCTCCACCTCCACCACTGATGACAGTTTCTGATGACAACTAGCTAACAATGAGGAAATATACGATATCTTAACATCAACTGAGCTCATAAAGACACATCATGGTGAGGTGGAATCAGAAGTTAAATGTTAGTTAGTGTAGTGAATGCTAACAATAATTACTTTTTCACGAGAACAGCCAGAAAGGAAAACTGCCCGGTTTGATACTGTGTAAACTCACCGTGTTCTGAGGAAATATTCAACTGATTAAAGTTAACTTTAAATATCCTCACTTTCCAGAATGTCATTACTTTACAAAGTGTTCTCACTAGTTTACAAGAATGTCTTCCTGTTCCAAAAATAGTGCCCTCACTTTGCAAGAATGTCTCCACTCCTCAGGCCTCGGCTCACACTGGTCCTTGCAAAGATAGAAGCAGAGACACACATGCACTGGGTGTGGCGTGAGTCAGAGATTTCAGCAGAATCCCTCACAGAGAATTCATCCAATAACTGTTGGAAGGGGAAAGACAAGAAATTAGTTTTCTGCTCTCTGCTGATATGAAACAATATGAGCTGTGCTGTTTGCAGTGTGTGTGTGTGTGTGTATGTGTGACTCTCATCCAGGACTCCTCGTTTCTCACCTCTCAAATCTTCAGAAAAGATTTCAAAGCTGCACAACTCAGTAGTCTCAGTGCGAGCAGCCAGTAAACACACAGTTGAACTTCTGCCCTGCCTGCAGGCAACAAACTATTTCAGTTTCAAGTCTATATAACCAATTACAGTCGGCCTACAGCTCAATAGTACCCGCAATGACACTAAAATCATTCTAGTTTTATGTCAAGTGGTTGAAGAATTCATATGTCTTTTGCTGTAAGTAATCAAGTGTACATTATTTTCATGTGTAGGCTACAATCAGCCAAAACAATGAACAAGATCTTACTACTGTGACCCAACTAACCAAACTAAAACTGTGTGTGATTCTACAAGGAATGTGGAATCGCAGCTGTCTGATAGATGCAAATGGTAGTTTGATTTTCTTATGTTGATAGATATTTTGTAGATATTTAAGTAAACAGTCATGAAGTTACAGTTTAAGACATATTTCAGAAACAAAATATAAATGATTTATTTTGTTTTTCACATGTAGCTTTCGTCAGATACAGTTTAGTGCTTACAGCCAGAGACATGAGAACACAAGTGTGTGTGTTTATGTTTTCTTGGACAGATGAATAATGATGAAGAGAGCCAGCTTCCTTCAGAACAGTCAGAAAACTAAAATACAAATTGACTATGTTCTCCAGCAGAGGGGCTTTCCACTGGGATGACAAACTTTTTTAAATAAATATCTTTTAGAAAAACAGTACATTTGTGAAACTGGGGACATTTTTCAAAGTGACTATTTAATCACACTAGCGGCTCAAGGTCTGCAGGTTCATGTTTTAAATTCAGTGTGAGATGCAATACATGAGGCTGTTGTACAAGGAAAATCATTTTAATTTCAAAAATATCAACCTTTAAGCCTCTCTAAAATAATTTTGTTTCATATCAGTAACATTACTTTGAGGCATTATTTAAAGACTTTAGCTAAGAAGTAGCATGAACAGAAGTGAGAGCATGAATGTGCACTTTGGTTTCTCCAGCTTCTCCTCAGCCAGTGAAGCTGTCATCCAACTGTTTTCACAGGCTACAGGCCTGTTGTGCATCATGGTTCAGCTTCATGTGTAAAATGGGTGTCACTCTCATAATACATTAAATGAATTACTAAACATAGTCCGTGCACATGGACGGATCATCAGACAATGGCCCCTGGGCACAGACATGTAAAAGGCTCTACTTCACTTCTTGGATCAAGACCCACAGACTGAGTAATGATTTGTAGTCAGTTTTGGTCTTCTTGTGGTTGTTTTGTGTCCCATAATGTTTTTAGACCTATTTTGCACCTAGTTTTAGTTTAGTTTTAGTTGTTTTGCATCTCTTTGTGTTTGTTTGGTGCCTGTTTTTGTCTTGCATACTTTTGTAGTCAATATGCTGTCTTGTCTTTTATGTCTTTGTAGTTGTATTCTCATCTTATTTTTCTCAGTTTGTGTTTTTATAGTTGTTTTGTAGTCTTTTAATAGACCTTCCAATGGAAATGTTAACAGTCCCTTTACTGTTCTTTCAAAGGAGCCGCTGTCTCTGATCCAAGATCATTCAGTAATCCATCAATGTTAGTATATTACCTTATGTAAACCATTAGAATAACACCAGCTAACAGTATGCATTAAGCTGTAGCATTAAAAGTGTTAAAATACCATTAAAATGTAAGTGTATGAGTTGATATATTGTCTACAGCCTCTAGGTAGTCCAGTGCTACTTATACTACTCCATTCTTCAAATATTTACCAGGGTGTCTGAACATTTGACGTGAGTGGTTGGAAAGGAAGTTTCACCTGCCGACTCTCATTGCCTCACCACCACTATGAACAGCAGCAGCACCATATTAGCAGTTTGGCTTTTGCCTGTTATGCAAAAAAAAAAAAAAAAATTCTTATAACGGCTGCTGGCGGAGGAGAGCAGAGGCAATAACAGAGAACACTTTCAGACAGATTGCCAACAGAAGGAGCAAAGTGACTGTGGAGTCTGAGGGGAGTAATATTACAGCCATTTGGCTAATAGCCATCATGCTTGTTACAGAGGCTTCACACAAACGGAGAACAAACAGTGTGGCTGAGCAGAACGATGGTGAGGAAGAGGGAGGAAGACAAAGCTTTTCAGACAGGTGAAGCTGATGTCAGTGTACGGGTGTGAAAAAAGAAATGCACTCAGATCAGTTTCTCTTCCAGGAACCCAGACATCTGTAGGCTCACGGGCGGAAATACCTTAGGCAAGAAGAGCTGCATGTTTGTGTGATGTTCTACAAGCTACAGCTTGATCTTTTTTTTTTGGTCTGTAGTTTGGCTTGCACCAAGGGAAAAAAAAAAATGTATCGGCTTCTCACTCTGGTCTTGTCATGATGTTTTGTGACTTTCATGACTTATTACAAACTAATCAAGAGGTGTAATATGAATTCACACAGACTCGCCAGTGTAAAGATGTCTTCCTGCATCAATGGAGAAGTAGGACTAAAGTCTCAATAAAAAAAAAGTGATGTATATAGAAGGCTCTAGTAATAATAATAGAAACATATACATTGTTAAGAAAAGTCATTTTGTGGGATGTAAGACAGCAAACAGACAGCAAATCTCAGGCTTCATGCAAGGGGGTGGGATCCATCCAGCAAAACTTGGATCCACCTTAGTTTTTAGTTTAGTTTTCAGGCACAGTTAAAGACTCACACTGCCAGATCTGATAAAAGGTTAGAAGTTCAGTGATAAACTCTGCCACCAGAGAGCTCAAGAAGAAATAAAAGATTATGGGTATGGGCTCAATAGTCCTACAGGGTCACAAAGATGTGCTTATAAAAACGTTTTGAGTAGCCTATGTGTAGAAAAGATGAGTACACTGCTTGTAAAAACATTTTTGAATGTGTCAATAAGATCTCTAAACCAATTATACTGTATGTCACACAAAGACATTGAATAAATGCATTTGCTGTTGAACATTATGTACAAATAAAAAGCACAAGGTAGCAGGATGCTCTAACCCCGGTTTTTTACAACTGGATCTGATTGGACAATGACTATCCAATCAAAGAAAGAGTAAAACTGTCCAATCAGAGGTCAGCTGGGTCCTCTGCATTGGTGTCCGTTGCAGGGCCTGAAAGTTTATTTGTAGTAGTAGACTTTCAAGATGGACAATGGTATGGATCAGAATCAGAATCAGCTTTATTGGCCAGGTGTGTCAGACACACGATGAGTTTGACTCTGGTACGTCAGCTCTCCATGTGTATGTACATATCCCCATGCAAGGGGCAAGTAAACCAGCATAAGGCTGTGTAATATAACAAAATGAGCAATAATAACAAGCAACAGCCAAACAATGCAAAATAAGCAGTATAAACAGGCAGTAAACAATGCAGACAACAAGGGAATATTCATTGAAATGAGATAATTAGGGATAAAAATAGAGTACTTAAAACAGAGTACTAGAGACCTGTATGAGTCTGTATAATCTGTACAATGTATATTTACAGGTATTGCACTGAGG